TCCACAAAAACATCCAAAACCAAAGTGATCACCGCCTCTCTTCCAGCTTCCAGAGGTAAGCACGCGTGAACTAACCCGTAGGCTTACTGCTACATTCTAAAACCAATAGTCTATTGGCTATGGTGATAGAGTTGAAGACACTTTTTCACCCTTCTACTGTACTTCACTTTAAAAATACCTACTTTAAAATGATCCCTCAAATACTGTCTACAGACAGGTTACAGAAAGAGCCGATGTTTAGGCTCTGAGTCTACCCTGTATCATACTGCAGATATTTTCCAGTGTGATGACACTGGTGAAGTTCCAGTGAAGTTCTGGTGAAGTTCCCACTGTTTGGAAAAGCGAAAAAATAACTCCCATTTTTAAAAGGGTAAAAAGGAAGACCCGGGGAACTACAGGCCAGTCAGTCTCATTTCTGGGCCCAGCAACATCATGGGGCAGATCCTCCTGGAAAGCTGGCTAATGCTAAGGCATGTGGAAAAATAAGATGATTGGTGACAGCCAACATGGCTTCACTAAGGGTAGAACATGCCTGACAAATTTGGTGGTCTTCTACAACGTGGTTACAGCATTGGTGGATAAGGGAAGAGTAACTGATGTCATCTACCTGGACTTAAGCACAGCATTTGACACTGTTCTGCATGACATCCTTGTCTCTAAATAGGAAAGACATGGATTTGACATAGACCATTCAGTGGATAAGGAATTTGCTGGATGGTCACACTCAAAGAGTTACGGTCAATGGCTCAATGTCTAAGTGGAGACCAGTGACGAGCGGTGTTCCTCAGGGACTGGTATTGGGACCGGCGCTGTTTAACATCTTTGTTAGTGACATGGACAGTGGGACTGAGTGCACTCTCAGCAAGTTTGCCGATGACACAAAGCTGTGTGGTGCAGTCGACACACTGGAGGGAAGGGATGCCATCCAGAGGGACTTTGACAGGCGGGCTTGTGCGAACCTCATGAAGTTCAACAAGGCCAAGTACAAGGTCCTGCACATGGGTCAGGGCAATCCCAAGCACAAATACAGGCTGGGCAGAGAATGGACTGAGAGAAGCCCTGAGGAGAAGGACTTGGGGGTGCTGGTTAACCGGAAGCTCAACATGACCCGGCAATACGCACTCAGCCCAGAAAGCCAACCATGTCCTGGGCTGCATCAAGAGTTCTGATGGCTTCACATGCCTGAATTTTATTTCTCAAGTTACTGGGCTGCATCAAGAGTTCTGATGGTTTCACATGCCTGAATTTTATTTCTCAAGTTACATCCTAGGTGTGTATAAATATATTTAATATCAAGTATTTTCTGTCTTTGTAACTACAGTCTGGTTTTCTCTCTGTCATTTATATTTAGTAGTGATTATGGCAAGAAGCGATGGTTTGTTCTGAGCATAACTAAACCAAAGCGGCCAGTATCTTCTCGGCTAGTGACCATCTGATCCTGGTGTATCAGGACACAGCATAAAAATTAGAGTCTCCTGATAAGCTGATCTGTAAACAGTAGCAAAACAGCTGTTTAGCACTAATCTCATCACCTAAAGAGCAGACCTCACTGCTTATAAGTCTGAAAATCAGGATAAGGCTCATCACTTTTTTTGGTAACTTCTTTTCTTTTTTTTTTTGCACTAGGTTGTAATTGTGCCAAAGTGCCTACCTTACTCTTCATTAAATGTGTATGTTTGGTCTCAGTCACATTTTGTATAGATATACTGGTATGCATTTTGGTATATATGCAATAGTGCATATAAATGCTATAATAAATATGCAACAAACCTGTTGTTTATTTAACAGGTGAAACTTCAGTCAAAGACTATAATGAAATTCCTGCTTTGTGTTCTGTGAGACCTTAGAAGTCTCGTTATGGGAATATATAACAAAGCAGAGATTATAAATTAATTTTAAAATTTAAAAATCCCTGTGGAATTTGTAACAAAACTACTTAGTATCCAGTAAATTTAACCAGTGATACTTGCACACTACCTACAAACTACTTCTGTTTCCAAACTCTGTACGTATGTGTCTCATCTAAGAGGGAAGTAACCTTATTTATTGAGCAAAATGATTCCTTTAGAGTTTATTAGTCCTTTGGAGATTTTGCTGGCTGAAAAGCAAAACTAAATGTGAGATCAAACTTCCTGGTGTGTTGGTTGTTTTTCTTCTTTAGTAAGTAGAGTTTGTAGAAGTAATTTTTATGTGTACCTTCAAAGTGCTTCATTAGTTACAGTTCTATAGAAAGGCTCTCCTTAGTATAAAAGCCACGTAGTGCAATCCTCAAAACGTATATGATCATATGCTAATTTTAACATCCCACCTGAATGTTTAATAGTCACTTAGAAACGTGTTATTCCACAGACATCGTTCATGAGGCAACGTATAAACATATATATAAATGCTACAGAGCAGATTCCATGTATTTATCTATTTTGGTGAAAGTTAAAAAGTATACACATTTGCTATTTTAAGAGTCAAAACTATATCTTTCAACAAAACTTAGCTGCTTTCATTTTGTACATGCATTTCATTTTATCTGGAAACTTTCTGATGTTAGGAATAGAACAACTGTAGTTTCTCATTACGTTTGCTGACAGAATCTATGCTTGGTTGCTCAACTAAAGGTCTTACATTGCTAATTACTACCACATGCCCATATTCTAAGCAACGGAAAACTTATTGGTTCTGACAATTCATCCTCTCAACACTGAATTCCAAATGAAAACTTAAATTTTGGCCAAACATAACATTTCATCAATCTTGTTCTACTGACTGCAAAAGCAACATCAAACAAGGGGTGCTAATGGCTTTTTACTGTGCAGTTCCCAAGCTTAGATTCTCTGATGAAAGGCCCACATGAGCAAAGGACATCTTTAAACTACTTAGTAATTAATAATTGAACCAGAAAACAATGCATAAACTAAATCGAACAGTTTGTATGCTGATGATAGAGCTGAGTTTCAAACGCCAAGTTATACAGGCAGTAGAGGTCAGCAGAGAAAGCACTGACAGAGTGAGCTAAAACCAAACAGATAGCGCATATAAATAAAAAAAAAAAAGTGAAAAAAAAAAAAAAAATTAAGCACAGCCCAAAGCCAGCAGAAGCCTGTAATCTGGAGTTGAGCTTTTCAGTATGTGGGGTTCTGACTGAAGATCAGGTCTAAGTTTAGAGACATCTGAGCAATGCTGGGTACTAGTGACAATGTAGAAGGGGAGAGACCAAAACTCTGTATGTAAAATAATTTTTAACCATATTGCCCCCCGCTTTTGACTCCTTCAGAGCCTCAAAAACAAAGGTGTAAGACCTGTGTTTTGAAAAACTACTCTCTTCAAGAAACTAAGGATGAATACAAATATGAAACAGAGTAGGCCTTTGCTACCAATAAACATTTTTGGAAAGTAATGATACTACCCTATCTCAGAAATAAATTAAGGCATTTTGTTAATCTAGATAAGTGACTTACGATGGAAGTTTCCAACACTAATCTTTACAGTAAAAAATAACTTGAGACATTTGAGAGTATCTCAAAAAATGAAAGTATTGAAGTTTTCAATTGTGTCCTCTAATTGCTTGAGTAGAGCATACAATAGTCTAAGCTGTAAGTAAAGAAAAACTTTAATTTATCTACCCAGTGATGTAAAACAGTACTCTAGAATTAGCTCTGTTGGGCATTTACAGTCTTTCTGCTCCACAGAGAGGAAAAACTACTTGATATAACCATAATCCACATTTATAAAATGATGCAGGGGTGATGATTTGAAAGGAATAAAGTAAAAAAACATATCTTCTTAAAGTAAGGAGAGGCACAATTGATTAGATGCGTTGCGTGCAGTACCTTCTTTATGTTATAGTCAAAGGATCCTATATGACTAGTCTTTTAGGGCAAATGTGTCTCTGCCAGTGAACGTCACAATGATATGCAATGAAATAAAAGCTGGCAACACTAATGGTGATATAGAGGAGAAACTACTATATCTCCAAGTACATGTAGTACATACATGAAAGGCTATAAACCAGCAGGTCCAGCTACTGGGAATGCCAGAAAGAGCTGGCTTTACCTTGGTCAAGAAAACAAGCAGAATTTCAATAGAAATATAATGAGCTGATGTGGTCCAATAAAATTTAACTTTTGCTACCAGGTAAAAAAAATAGTATTTTTTATGGGTTTAGTTATTCTCCATACTATATTGATGCTACGGCTACTACTTGTTCTTCTTAGGACACGTTTTATACAGTGTGTGGAAGAGAGTCACTTTAAAATCCCTGGTCATAGATCTTAAAATCATGAGTGTTTGTAATACTCATATGAAATCAATAGGAGCTTCATGAGATCTGAATTTGCTCTTTGAACGAGAGGCAGCACTATTAGTCTTCACACAGAGTCAGTCTAATGGAATAACTTCATCAACATAAATCTTGTACTTTGCACTCCAGTAAACCCAGCTTTTCTAAAGACCCAAGTTGTTTGAAAATCATGTGAATTATCATTGTCCCTTAGTTAAGAGAAGACCACATGATAATCTGATGTCCAAAACAGTGAAGTGACAAGTCAACCTTGTTCCAGAAGGTAACTGCATATGCAACAGCAGCATTTTTCACAAGATACGTCAGCATAGTCCTAGTGGTATCCAGGGTCTCCTGAAGTAGGGACAAAACGTTGTGACTTGTACCATAGCATAGCCCAGGTCTCTAACTATAGTGTGACAACTCTCCCGTGGTAACATCTGATGCCAAGGAACACAGCCTTACAAGCTGTGAGTCAGCTATTACCACCTTCAGGGGCTCTTTAAAGTCACACAACCACACCTGGTCTTTTTTGACTTACTTTCTGCCTCGGGTTGAGTTAAAAGTCCCGCCGTATTTCTTCCGATTAAGGATGAGAGCAGCAATTTCTGGCACGTAGCGAGCAAACATTGCCTACATGCATGAAACAAAAACAAAAAAAAAAGAAAATGGCATGCAGAGAGTGTTCTACTGCAGCAGAGGCAGCAGAGCCTCTTGGGATACTTACTTTCTTCCACTAACCGCACTATAGGAACCACCATATTTCTTGCGGTTTCCTATTAACTCTATGATTTCAGGGACGTAGCTGGCAAACATGGCCTAAGAAGAAGATAGGAGACAGAAGAAAAGACTAAAAAGAGAGGCCAAAGAAAGGGGGATGATGAATATTTTCAGAAGATACATATCTTTAAGATCTGAAAATGCAAAATAATTTGATCTATGAAGCTGTTTAAAAAGAAAATTTAAAAAATGTAAAAGTTCTTTTCAAACAAAATAAGAAGGGCTCAATGTAAAACTTGGTCTTGGAGAAGACGCACACCTTATAAATTAAGAAAATGGTCAAAAGAGGAAAAATAGGCACACAAAACAAAACAAGAACAAAATTAATTCAAACTGGTATCTAATCACAAAATACAGTTATGTCTAATTCTTACTGAAGCGGGGAGGGGAAAAAACCTATCCAAGCTCCACGGCAAAAAGCAAAAACAAGTATTATAATTACTGTTACATTTCTGTTTGAAAAGACAGACTTCTTTCCCCCATGATTTGGATTCAAAAGACAAAAACAAGATGGAATCAGGGGTTAACCGCCCGTCAAGAAACAAAAAAGTCACCCCCCACTCCCTCCAAAAAAAACAACTTTTCCAAAAGTTCATGTTTTTAAAAAGATTGGAATAACATGTGACAGAAAAAAGGTTTTGAGGAGAAAATAAAAATTATTCTGCCATGTTTTGTCCAACAAACATCTTCCTTGTGGCTGGATACTTCGAAGAGCTACTGCCAGTTGACATGGTCTTTGTATGTCAATAGGCATAGATGGGAATGGATATATTTATGCTCATACATATGCTGACATGTATGTATCTGCATGTGCCTAATGGCATTCATAATATTAGTTATATACATACCACCTTTGTAAGATGGATATATATGTGAAATCAATATATGAGAGTAAAGTAACAATATACGTGTGTATGTACGTGCACAATATCTATTGAGTCATCCATAAAGCATCTACCTTGCACACTGTAAATATTAAAATAAACCTTGCTGGTTTAGTGAATAACATTGCAAGAAGTCATATAACATTACTAAGTGATAAATAATACAAAAGTTGACATAAGAAAATTAGCAGCTTTGGTGCTATGTACATACACGACAAAACAAGAATTTGCTGATATAAAAGCACACTGGTTATGGCCATGTGATAAACGGTGAGTTTAAATTGTGCTACATGACATGAAAGGATGTTTGAAATTAAAGAGAATGTGGTTTGCCACCATCTGGATCAGGCAAGCTGCTCTTTAAGGCAGTCCAAAGCCACAGTGTTTGTTGGAATTCTGGGAAGGAACACAGAAGGGTGGGTAGGACTTCTGAAACCGCAAAGTGCCTTGAAGTATCAATAGCAGCCTCAAAAAATGCACGACAGTCAGTCCCTAAGAAGTAAAGGACTACCAATAACGTTCTAAGCTAAATTATTAAGGCACTTCATGTATTCACATGCATTACTCATTTAAATGGATTAGAAAAATTCTGACTCTACTAAACTGGACTAATTTGACAAGGTCTGCCAAAACATTTATCTATAGAAAAAAATAAGGCATATTAAACATAAAAGTTCTGTAATTAATTCACAAAAGCAGGCACATTATTTCTTTAATTACAGCATTGAGATATACAGGATCAAGTATTAAGGTAGCTGGAACAATAATAAAAAAAGAGTTTTTACCAATCCCCCAAGGATGAAGAAGACCATGAAAAGGCGACCAAGGGTTGTTTTTGCATAAACGTCTCCATAGCCAACAGTGGACATTGTAACCATCAGTAAATAAACACATTCCCAATATGTTAGCGGTTGATTATTTTGGAAATTTTCCCATGGATCCCCTGAGTTCTCCACCTAAAATATACAACATATCATGAGTTCACAGAGTTGTACCACAAATTAACTCTACTGATATGTACATTGTGAGCATGTGTGTGTATATATGTATAATCTGGCACAAAATACAAACTCTGGATCCTTTCTTGGGATTTTGAACAAATACAGAATCTAACCCTGCCCCAGTTACAGCATTACAGTTATTTTGCCAATATTCATAGCCTTGTCACTCATACTAGTTACAGAAAGTATCTTTTCCATTTACCACTATGTAATACTACTTACTAATGCAACTAGGTAAATTCATTTCATACCAATTTGTTTAGAACTTCTTCAGAGTGAATCTTACTTGTAATGCAATTATACTTCTTAATGTATTTGTTTTAAAGTATTATGTAGCTATTCGTGGCATTAGTGACATGTGAAGTTTAGTGACACACTATTACTTTTCAAAGAAGCCAGCTACTGTATGTGATGAAGCTGTAAATTTATCAGTGGGAAAGGAGGATGCCCTCTAAAATTTGTTCCACAGTAAAAAGTCTGAAGTTTGAGGATTCCTACAGTAGGAAAGAGAAATTTTTGCTGGAAAGCAAAAAAACCAAAAAAAACCCAACAAACAAACAAAATCCAAGTCCTAGAAAACAGCATCCCCTCCCTCCTGATATAATTAAAAAAAGCTTGGGGTTTTTTTGGTTCAAAAATAGAAATAGGTAATGTTCCTATTATAAAAATGCTACATTTGCCCAAAGGAACACAAAACTGCGGTCCATCCATAAATGAGAAATATATAATAAATTAAAACTTCCAACATTTTAGTGCATCTTTATAAGAGTGAAAATCAAATGACTATGTGTTATAAGAAGAAGATAAACATTCTGAATTTAATCTTCTACAGCTGGATGCAGCTCAAGGTGATTCAAGAAGTCAATTAAATTGCTCCAGACTAACATCAATATCATTAACTTATAATATTAGTCCAGAACCATTCCCGAATAACTTCTTACTGCTAGCACCTTCAAATTTTCCTAAGTTGATCATAAAATGTACTTGAAGAACAAACACTTCACCAAATTTAATTCTGTTTTTCCAAACAAATCAGTAAAAGATATTAGTTTAACATGTTTAAAATACACAATTGACATATACCTATCACATATATGCATATTCACATTTATGAACTCACGTGTACTACTATACTATCTTACATGCTTCGAGTATTCTTAAGTGCAGAACAAAAATTTATTGCAACGTGTTATCAGTGACCGAAAGCTACACCACGAAACTTGAAATTTAAAACAAAAGAGAAGGAAACAGTCTCTAAAAAGTTGCTACCCGCCACGTTAGCAATCCTGTTAGTTCTCGTGGAAATACAGAACTGTTCTTTTTTTTCCAGCACAATCATCGACTTCCCAGGACCTCAGCATCATTTCAGCTCCACCAACCCCTTCCAGGAAGCACTCCAGGTAGTTATTTAGGAAACATTGCCACCTCCTGGTAAATCGTAATCATTCAAGAAGTTGCTTCAGTTCAGATCTCACATTTTATTGCTGAGGTTAATGATGTATTACTGTTGAGAATTAGTTTTGAGTAGAAGGCTAAAATTCGGGAAGCTGTGATGTCTTTTTTTATTGTAGTCTACAGATGCGTTAAGGGATTATCCAGAGCAAGGCAATTTCAGGTAATAAAGTAGCTCAGAGAGCAGATGATCCATGAGAACAAGTCAATGAAGTCTTTTCAAATATACTTACCAAATGTATGAACCCAGCTGCTGTCAGCCACGTGCTGATAAATATAGAGCACAGATTCACTAGCTTGATGGAATTACTGAAAATAAACAAAACCCAACAACAAATAGGAACTTAGACTGGAATTTATGATGCAGTTTTAATATGTACCTGTATACTACTGCATACTTGACATTGGAAGAGTCTGATGATGATTTCTGAAGAGATGCAGGCTCCTGAAAAAACTTAATCAAAAGCCTACGCAAAACATGTATTGTTTTGTCTTCGCAGAGTTCAGATTTACAGAATTTAGATAGCTTGAAAGAATAATTCCAATGCATTTGAGAGCAGAAAGACAAATGGAAACCTTAGCTACATCTGTTCTCATAATGAAACAAATAGAAATATATAATGCTTTTTCACAAATCTGGTTGCCTCTTACACTCACCTTCCCATTTTTCATTGCTATATACCTCAGCAATTATATACACGTAAATATTCTACTACGCTGGAATACACCCATGCAGGTCCAATTCTTATTTAATTATTAATTTTTTCTTAGCTTGCATGCTTCTTTTATATTTATTGTGCTTTTGACTCCAGACTTGTGGAGGCTTTAAAAATTAACAGCAAGAGGATGCTTTTGTTGGGTACTCACCACGTGTTAACACTTGCACACATGACCACAAGGCAAGACTACTTCCCGCAGTTACAGCAAACAATTAATGGAACTATTGCAGCCAATATGTAAATGCCATGCTGCTTTTGTGAAAAAATTATGACTCCCACATTAAATAACTTGGGTATTTTACAATTCCTGTGTAAAGTTCTAAGAAATTTTCATATTATTCTGCTTGCACGAACTCCTATGGAGTTCTTTGTGGAAATTCATACTGAGCTAGAGTATTTCATACTTCACATTTTTCCAGAAAAAGAAATTTTATTTTTTTTAATTGAAACTGAAAACTCTTTTTAGTCCCATTGAGCAGTATTGCTCCCTATCGTAGCCAGAATTGATTTTGAAGCAAGGACCTCACTCCGTTCAGCAGAAAGGTTTTGGAAGAAATATAAGTAAAGCTCGCTACCTCTCTTCTTAAAAAATCACTACGCTTTCAAAAGCTAAGGAGGATATTCAACAAGTACACAAGGAACTGAAGTCCATGTGTTACTATGTCTAAATAATCTTACTCATTTGTGGAACTGTGTTGGAAATAGTTCTCCTTTATTTTTGAAAACATTTGTCATAAATAATAATGCCTCAGAAAAATCACTATTATTCCTAAAGCAATACACTCCAAAAGAGTACAAATCAGGAAAAAATCACTATCGGTGCTAGTAGTAGTAATACTTCTGTTTATAACTACTTTAAGGACAATAAAAATATAAGTTATAGTTAGTGAAATGGGCAACTGTGAGTACTAGGACAGAAACACAACTGGGTAATATGACAGATGCTGTAATGAATAGTGTACTCAAAAATAAGATTAAATACCAGCAGTTCTGCAATTAATTTGCTTTCACCAACATCAACACATATTCCCTACTTCTCTCTTTCTTACGTATGGCTGGTAGGTTCAGGTTTGCATTTTGTTGGTGATAGCATTGAGTTATAGCACAGGACCCTAAACAAAATGATAGAAATCCTGCAGATGTAAAGCTCCAAATATCATCTTAAATATCAGGATGAAGGGCTACATATCATCCTTCACCTGAACTCAGCACAGGAGGGCCTCCTGCTACAACAATGGGTCAGCTGGTCTCCACGTACAATTCCAATAAAGGTAAACGACAGCAGTCATTATAAAGAACTATTTACATGACTTGTTTGGTACATTTTATTTTTGCAGATCTATTCAACATTGTACCTTATCTCTCCTCTATGAAACAGTCCTGTGTTTCCGCCGGAGTCTAAATATAGATGAAGGATTAGTCACAAACATTTTCCTGCTCTTTAAGCTCTTTCCAACATCTGTGCAAAATCCCTCCCTGTGAGCCCTACCTAAGCCTCTGTCGTTTTGTTGAAAAATATTAGAAAACAGCGAAGGAGACAATTCAGTTGAACACCACACCATTCTATTTCCTAAAACACAGGAGCAAAAAATATTGAGCAAAATACATTTAATTTCAAATTGGGGAAACAAATAGATCCTTGGCAGAGTACAGTCTTTCAATATGCAACAGTGAAATTTTACTTTGCCTTACTGATTCTTGTAAAATATAATTAATAATTTTTCATATATTCTAATAATTATCTAACACTCCCACACTACTTTGCTAGTTTTCTGACTGCCTCTGTTATTGCACTGTTTAGCTTCTTCCTTTGGATTCCAGTGTTTGGAAACAACATACATTCGTAAATAACATATGCTCCTTTAATCCTCATACCTCAGCCTCTAATTCCAGGAATAATTTTAATTTACAGGTCAGAGTAAACCTTTTTCTTTACTCTAGGGAAGAGGAAAAGAAGGACAGAATTTCTTCTCTGATTGCACCAAATACTAAACACACAGCAGCGCCCTTTATACCCTACCAGTTTCTCATCTTGTCAGTTGTTACTTGTTGTTAATGCCAAGTACGCTGAAACGCCCCTAGTCAAAAACAGCCATAATACAGAAGCTCTGCTTTACAGGCTTTGTAAATATCAACATTTGGGTTTTACAGATATTTGGACATTCATATAAATTATCATAGAGAGGATAATACCTAACCTCAGAGCACGTTTTGCACCAGACAAAGGCTATTTAAATGAACAGGTCAATCTTGAATAAGCCAGCTCTAAATACAGTGAATGTGATTAATGCAGTATCCCTTCATTTATGGATCTGGAATTTTACAAATCCACCACTCCTGAAGGGGCTTTTAGCCTTTTTCCAAAACCCTCTGAGTTTATGGAGCTTTTCCACTGACTGCCATTGCTTTTGGTGATGTTCTCTGTGTTAAGTGCAAACTCATTGGATGTTCTGAGCTCCTGGACAAATTCCTCTCCTTCAACACGCTGGTAGCATTCTAAGCTACTGGACTACATCTTCACTGCACATGCTTTGATTTCTTTCTTTGGTAAGAATTGGATTTTTCAGTGTCACAGGGCTAAAGACAGACTGTGAGAAATTTACGGCAAAGAGAAAAGTTTCAAGGTCAAGGACTGAAGAAACCGCTGTTCACCATGAGTGTGTACAAACCTCAAGGATCTACGTCCCCAACAAGACTTATTAACATAACAAGTAAATGAAGTTACTTGCATATAAAGCCTTCACACGTTCATCAACTGGTGGAGAGCCCACAGGATTTCAGAATGGAACAGAGTTTACTGGAAGCTGAGTTCAATACTTCAGCTGGGGCATTTTAGTGAACAACAAAAGGCATTGTGTCTTCAATTCCAGGCATGGGAAGGCTCCTTTTTTTTTCACCCCTTTCCTTCAGATTGATATTTTGTTCAAATCTGTGCTTCTTCTGCACAACTTTCATGTATTAATAGCCCGAAGAATCAGTGAAAGCCAGAAGGTTACTTGGAAAATTTTAAATATTTTTTCAAAGAAATGACAATAAACACACTATAAAGATAGCTGAGTGTAAAATTAATTTTTAATATGTTTTTTATGTGAAGGATGCTTAGTTCAAAAAACTGAAATACTGAAATAATTTCTCAAAATACTTTTTAGCTGTATTCTGTTGAATTGTGACTTCTGTTTCTCCAAGGCAGCGGAATGTGGAGTGATTATGTGGAAAGAAGCAATATTTAATCAGTGCGGAGCTCTAACTCATTCTGCTTTTAGTTTATCAGCACTCAGTCTTGCTCAGATATTTCAAATGTAACAACACATCAAGTACAATCTTCTACTGATCACATGTCAAAAGATGCTGACACCGGTAAATCATTCATCAGCAGAAAAGGGTTGAAAGAACAGATATCAAGAGTTTTTTTCCAGAAAAGAAAATCCCCTATTACTAGGACCAAAAACCTAAGCCATTTATTTTCTGTCACCAACGCAACTAGCTCAGTATGTAAGAAAAGGTCTTACCTTGTTTTAAGGATATTCAGAAACTGCAAAATTTCTGAAAACTGTATCAGTCTAAGGGCTCTTAAAAATCTTAAACCTGCAGTAAAGACAAAAAACTCTAGTAAAGAATAATTCAAATTATAACATTTCATTTACAATGACAGTGATCAATGAAATCAACATGGGTAGCATACAAAATGTCAAATACCTTTGAAACGTTCTTCCATATTTAATGTTTCCAAGATCCTTACCAGGTCTTTTTATTAAACTTCTTTCCTTAATAGATGAAGTATGCTACCAGAAAGCCTTAGTTTATGTAGGCAGCCATGGGAGGAGACATACAGGCTGAAAGCTAAGGGGAAAAAACCTCACTAGGTTCTGTTCGTAGGTCTAGTGCACATGTCCTTCTCTTCCAGGCTGCCAAAGACTCATTCACATCTGAAATGCCTCAGTCCTCCAAGCTCCCACGTTGCTTAGTGAGAAATAAGAGATTATGAGCAAGAGATCTGATAACCTGAATAAAGTAGGCTGTGTATATGCCTGATCAAATTGGTAAATCTTAATGACGTAAAATCTTTTATTGTAATAATGCTCCTTATCTCCACCCTAATTTCCAAAAACTCAAGCAGGAGAACAGAGGAATGACACTTTCTCTCTTAAAAATGACAAATCTACCATAATGCTTTCCACCAGGCTATAACTACAGGAATAGATTACACTTTGACTATCAAAGAAGTAACTATATTTACAAAGAAGCAGCATTTCTGTGTTGAAATCAGGTTGCATGAATAGCAATTCCCAGACAACTGCAAAGCCAGCGAGACATACACAGAGAGTATGCGCAAGAGAAAATATTATAGAAGATTAAGGGCTTAAATTATTAAAAGAGATTTATGCTGATAGTAAATAATTTGGCTGCAGATCTTCCGCATATGAATAGAAGTACATTGTGGATTATACACATCTACAGCTTATAAAATTAAAATAAGGATTTGAGGACAATTTTTATTAGACAGTACAGCCAAGAGTTACATAAAAGTTGTGTAACATGGTATTGTGACTGTTACAGCTAGATCCAGGGCAGCTTCTTCTCATACTTTCGCTTTGCTGACATTTCTCTTACCCAGTTCCAGCGCTATAAACCACTTTTTATTTCTAGAAACTTAAGACTGGTCCTGGCAAACATGTCAACCTGGTCACAACCTTCGTCATCTCAGTGGAGTCGAGAGGTACCGCTTAAGAGCAAAGACGCTTGTAGTGAGGTGTGTTTAAGTCAAGGCTTTATTTCTGCAGTATTCTTGGAAAGTTGTTAAATAAAATGTTTACTCTTGTTAAGGCTAATAAACAGCCTTGTTCAGGTTCATAAGTAGCCTTAACAAAGTAAAAAATCACTCCTCTTTGTGTATTACATGGATATAAAATTTCTTTTTAATCACTGACTATAGGAAAATCTAAAGATGAATCACAACTTGAAAACTGGATTTCGGGATCTAGACGACAAGGAATAAAACAATGCTCAATAATCATAAACTTCAGATCCATTTGCAATTAGAGGATAATCATTTTGGTTCCTAGCACAGAAACCATGAAAGACATGTCCCTCTGCTCCCTCACAGTAGTTCCCACAGTTGCTACTTCTATCCAAAGAGATGTGGCTGGACAGGGATGGAGATGACTTTTATCAGCAACCCTAAACTTCCTCAGCTCTATTTCATCCAGCTACCTCCCTCCTTCACTCCCCAGGAACGTTTTGAAAGATGGCTGGTAGGAGAAAAATCCTTCTTTTCAAATGTTTTGCATTGCATCTGAAGTTAAGAAGATGGCCAAGTCACCCATTGCAATATTTCAAAAAGAAGCCTGAGAAACAGCAAACTTAGCAATAAAACCTCTGTCTCCAAACTCTTACGACATTTAAGACATATTTTAGTTGCCCAGACATGAAATGATAGAACAAAAAAGTACAGCTTTAATATAATTTTTGTGAAAGGAAAAAAAAATCATTATAGATTAAGTTCTGCGTTTGCTACAGCCTACACTATTTTAAAGAAATCCCTTCAGAGAATAGAATTAAAAAAGTGGAGAGTTTGCTTGGACAGTTTACTTGAACTACAAATGGAACTGGTTTGTAATAGTAGAACGTTACAATCACCTTGTAGCCTCTGTATCTTGTCTCAGACATTACTCATGGGGCTGTGTTTTATAGCTAAAGGAATTATTACACAGGAAAGCATTAAATTTTGATCTTCAGAAACCTCAGTGTATTACCTGATTTGTACGGCTCGAATATGAAGAACAAAAATGAAATTAACTGCTTTCCTTATCATTATGGCAAATGAACTCTTCCCAGTATTCCACTCTCTTCAAGACCCAAAAAGTTCTGTTATTAGGTTCCTGTAGATATGTCCTTTTACACAAGTTTTTGTACTTCCTGTCTTGCAAATAATCTGTGAGTTCCATCATCCTCACATAAAAGTGGTATTTACTAAAAATCTCTTCCTATGTTCATAGTGTCACGACATAACAAGGCATAAGCCCTATTAAACGGCACTAAGAAAAGGCAGATTCTCTAGGTAAGATACTAAAAACTTCATAGACAAACTACCATGATCCTGTACGAAGTTACCTCTTCATATTTTATAGATAACATGTTTTTATTTTATTAGTTTTGTAGAAACACCAGTCATGTCAGAAATATTGAATTTTTGTCTTTATAATAACGTATATTCTCTACTATTCAAAAAAGTCCTCTGGTAAATCAGTATGTATAGGAAATAGAGATTAGGAAAACCCTTCATGACAACACAACTTTGCAGCCTAAAAAAATTATGTATTTCAACTATTTTCAATGCTCATTAAAATCATATTCTCAGTTTTGCTTCAAAGGACTTCTACAGGGTGTTATGTTTTTTTTTTCATGAAAACTTATTTGGAATATAATATTCTTTCCAGCTGTGTAGAGACATCACCTCATATAAATTTATCAGCAGAATTAATATAGCAGGAAAACCATTTTGTTTGCCTAGACAGTGACTGCTCCTGGACAAGCAGTACAACCTGCCTCGGTGGGATAGGGTGTTCGGGTACTGGATTTAGTAACGAATCTACTGCTTCACTTCCGAGCTTTATAATCCCCTTCAGCTAAAGATCTAGCCAACTGAGGGCTTCAAAACCCAGTTGACAACGGCTAATGTCAGAGTCAAGGAGAACTTGGCTCAGGAGGAAACAAGCAGAGACTGGGACTAGCATTCTTCATATAAGCCATGGTGAGAAAGGCAGACACAGCTAGCCAACGGGGTTGAAAGGCTTACAGCTGAGCAGGGAAGAAGTTTGTTTGAAGTAGGAAAATCAGGAATATTCATAAAAGATAGATATTCCAGAAGAGTATAAAAAAAGAACTCTGAAAAGGGATCCGAACAAAACACCAAAGAAAAAAGGACTGGACAATGGTAGGGCTGCAGCTGGTAGGTTTGAGTATCCTTGCCTCCAGGTACCCACAGTATCCTGTTCTCAGGGGCTGACCGTGCAAGCATCCCTTAGTTCAGTGTTCGCAAGTGAAGCCCACTATGTCTGCAGTGTTTACTCCCTGTAACACTATTAACACAGAGTCAGTCAGCCAAAACACCTCTGCATAGTAGGGACACACCTTCTCTTAGGTTACTCCGTGGGAAGACTTTGCGTGGTCTGTGGGGCAACCACCACTAACACTAGCTGAAATAAAACAAGGGCAAAAGGAGAATTCCCCTTTTTGAACAGTTATTTCTAAAGATTGAGTGTGAAAGCAGTAAGAGGTGCTGGTTTTGAATGAATCTGCTTGGCACTCTGAAACGTCTCTTAGCATTGACTGCTTGACCTTCTAGTAAATTACACGCATTTTGAAAGACCGCAGCTAATTCGGAGGTTTTAGCCTTATTCTTCAACTAGACTACAAATGCTGCTGCTGAGAATAAACTGTAAGCATAAAACTTGGATGCAATGAGTTTGCGCCTAAATGTATGATTATTTATACCACCGTGAACTGAGCAAGGGGGTGATGAATCAAATGCATAATTCCCAGAGGAAAAGTCCACACAGCACTTCATTCTGGTGCTGGTATCAATGACGTGCGAAAGTGTGCTTGCAATCATATGTGCATCCGTAAACTGGTGACACAGTAATCCTCACAGCAATAACCTTGTTGCAGTGAGACTGTTAAACTAAAAATGGCCTAAATTATTCAGTAGGTACGCTTACTATGAATCCACACAAGATCAAAATTAAAACAAGCTAAAGAGAAAAGATTTTGACAGGTCTAACTCAGGAGTAATTATTGACAAAGGGTCTGTAAAAAACAGCCCACCTCTGAAAACTAATCACATGTAATCAGTAACACAATGTCCCATGCTATCTTCTCTCACTGTTTTCAAATCAAATTTGACTCACAGGTAAGATGTTCTCTCTTTCAGACTCACCAACTCACCAAGAACAGAAGTTTTTGATATTTGTTTACGCATCAACAATAGTAAGCAAAATTCTCTAATAGGAGCATCAACAAAAAAATCCCATTTTCCCAAAGCTGTCTCAGCTACTTAGACAAATCTGTACATTGCTCTTTCCTTAGCAATATTTGGGAATGTATTTTATACATGCAGGGAGGAATAACTTCTTTTAATATGAAATAAATTGAAAACTGTTTTACATTTAAATGACATAATCACTAGTGGAGATAGGGTAAGTTTCTTATGTATTACAGTACAATCTATTCTAATTTTGCATGTTTAGTAGGAACCAGCATGCTAAAGTTAATTGAGCAAACTGCTGAATAGAATGCTCAGGAAGTACTTGCTCGTTGGTCTCCATCACGTCACTCAACTTTTTCATGCTGTGAGGTTTTATATAGGAATTTTCTTATGGGATCTGACTAGAATAGGATATAATCTTCTATATTATGATTTATTAAAAAAAATCAAAATATTTAATTTACCTAGAAAATCTCTCCAATCACAGAAACATATACAGATAAAATGAAGGGCCTCTTCAGGCTGTCACTCGTCTGCTGCTAAATGGATGAGTAAACTATGCTTCCAAGCTGGAACTTTGAGCTGCAACACCGAGGATAAA